TACATATATAGGTACTACATGTGGACCTCTCTCAGATTTGTTTATTTCGTGATGATATCTTCAATTCTCTAATTTTGGTGAATATTTTTGTCATTTTTGGTAAAAAGTGATATTTTTGATTTCTTGTTAAAAACCGCAAGTCCGATTGCTTTGATATTACATATATAGGTACTACATGTGGACCTCTCTCAGATTTGTTCATTTTGTGATGATATCTTCAATTCTCTAATTTTGGTGAATATTTTTGTCATTTTTGGTAAAAAGTGATATTTTCGACTTCTGGTTGAAAACTGTAAGTCCTATTGCTTTGATACTATTCATATTGTTCATTTTCTAATGATGTCTTCAGTTCTTTAATTGAAATGTGCATTGCTAACAGCGGAGCTATCTCAGCCGATAGGCTGCTTGTTAATATTTAAAATCAGGTGGTATGTACTTGATATTGTAATAAAATGTGCATATTCTTGTGACCATGCATTTCTGTTTCTTCATTGTAAAATTCAATGACGACGCAACTTATTTCTTAATTTTATTTTCCCACAAAGACGTAATATCCCCCTCATTTTGTCGCATAGTGAATTAAAATTGTCATTTGCACTCTTTTCCAAGGGGGGTGCTCGGGTAAACGCCCACCCCTAAAAAATCATGATTTTTTGAGTTGAGGACCCTGGGTGCTAGTACGGTCGAGTATGGTGTTATAAATTGGGAAAAAAAGTCTCTGCACTGCCCATTATCACATGACAAAGTGGAGACGTTTGGTAAAATAATTCACTGCATCTGCCCATTATTAGTGCATCCCCCACATCCTTTCCCTGTTATTTAAAACTAGAAAAAGCCTGACCATCGTTCTTTGTTTCCTAATCAACGGACAAACCCAAATTGGCTGTGGTCATTGTTCAACTGGTTTTTTGTGATGATCAATAAAGTAAGTTATGACTGAATATACCGGTAGAATTTATGACAGTACATGTTAACTTTTTTCCCCACCAGAATTTCTCGCCAAAATTATTGTTATATATGTATTCTTCAATATTTCTGGAAATGAATTCTAATTTTGGAGCCAACAGACAAAAATTTAGTCATTTTTCAGTTTTTACTCAACAAATTTGGCTACTTTTGTCTTAGTCTTCATAAGAAAAGTGCAGACTATAAATGGGACTTTTTTCTGAATTTGTGATGAAAAAAGGGATCTGGTGGTGAAAAGATTAAAGACTAATATAATTGGAGAATACATAGTTTTGATGACAGTGTGTCTTTAATGATGACCAAAAGTAACTGGTCTAACTGTACTTATGATTTCAATTCTGTAACGTTACTGTTTTTTGTTTACCTAGGCTCATGGAATGCTTGTAGTGGAACCTGGTTATGTTTGGATAAACACTACAGTACTTGGTGGAATCTATCTATTTTTCTTGACAGAAAAAATCATGAAAATATACATCAACAGGAGGAAGGTAAGATTTAGTGTACAAAATCTCCCTATATGAATGTGCAAAAGTCCATGATACATAGATGCTCTTTGATAATACTCAGGCCTGACAAGTTTTTAATTAAATTTAATATTTTGAATTCTTGTTGAAAACAACAAGTCCGATTGCTTTAATACTATACATATTGTTCATTTTCTAATGATGCCTTCAGTTCTTAATTGAAATGTGCATTGCAAACAGCGGAGCTATCTCAGCCGATAGGCTGCTTGTTTTTTCTTCTCTTCTTCAAAAAGTTATTAATTTAAATAATTAAGTCGTACATGTCTTCATCTATCTGATATTCAGAGATTGGCTAAAGCTGAAGCAAAAGAAACTGGAAGTATTGAACTTAAGTCTGCTGATTTATGTTCTTTGATGGCAAAGCCGGGACATTCTGACCATCGAATATTGGACCCAGTGGAAGAAGCAGCAAATAACATTGATAAAGACAAGTGTATTGATATTAGTAATGGTACTAGCAAGCATACTACAGATTCTGAAATGGGGAACAACATCACAGTTGCTATAAGCAACGGCAATGTCTTCCAGGTACGAGTGTCCATGGCATTCTTTACATAATGGTTTTTAATAGAAATTAATGCATGTTGATTGGCCCAACCTTGATCTATATTTTGGCATTATTTGCAAATTACCGGTAGTCTATTGATTGTCTAATATGTAAATATTATTTATAATGACCAAACTTGATGCATATTGATTACTTTAATTATCATAAATGTTTTGTGCATTGGCCAAACCTAATACATATTCGATATCTATTTAGCATACTTGGCCAAACCTAATACATATTTGATATCTATTTAGCATACTTGGCCAAACCTAATACATATTCGATATCTATTTAGCATACTTGGCCAAATCTAATACATATTCGATATCTATTTAGCATACTTGGCCAAACCTAATACATATTCGATATCTATTTAGCATACTTGGCCAAATCTAATACATATTCGATATCTATTTAGCATACTTGGCCAAACCTAATATACCACATTTAAGATTTGTTGCTTTTGTTGTATATAGACTTTCCAGAATGAGGAAAACGGCCTTTCAGAAAGTGAGAATACACCGTTGGGACATAAACATTGTGCCCATACTGATATGGCTTTGAAGGAGACTCCTACTATAGCAACTGTTGCATGGATGGTAATATTTGGAGACGGGTTACATAATTTTATTGATGGACTCACTATTGGTGCTGCGTTTTCTGTATCAGTTATGAATGGTATCAGTGTATGCATTGCTGTCGTATGTGAAGAGTTTCCACATGAGTTAGGTAAGTCGAATAATATGCTGAGAGAATTATTTTAGTTCCGCTGTTGACTTAGTAGAGCTGAGCTTATCATATGAGTGATTGTCAATCGTCAACTTGATATATAATTGACATGGATATGAACAAAAACAAAATGGCCACCAGGTGGCCTTTTTGATGAGGTCCACCTGAGGTGCATACATGTCCTATATATCAAAGCAATCAGTCAACAGAATGTACACCCACAAATCTGGATTACTGCTAGTGATAGCATTTGTCATTCAATACAGAACTTTGACTTACATGTACATTGTAGCATTGTCAGTGCTTCTGAATATGGTACATTCTGTTGCCATGATACTGTTGTACAGTTGGCATCATTAGAAATCAGAGATATCTCAAATTGAAAAGTAAACAGTTTCTTTATATTCTTATTGTTTACATACAGGTGACTTTGCAATTCTGCTGAATGCTGGTATGAGCGTAAAGAAAGCGCTGACGTACAATTTCCTGTCTGCCTGTATGTGTTATCTTGGTTTGGTATGTGGTATATTACTCACTAATCACACAGATGCTGCTGTGTACATCTTTGCTATAGCAGCTGGAATGTTCCTCTATATCTCTCTGGTAGATATGGTAAGTATTATTAGTCATTTATTAAATGAGGTCTGAGACAGAATAATCAGGGTGAGGTTAGAGGTGTGTATAGAATGTGAATAACACGGAGGGCAAATACTGAGTGCATAACACTCTTTCAGAAAGGGATAGTGTGAATGAGAAAACAATACAATGCTGATGGATTAAACATAGAGCACGGAAACTTTAATACATCTGGTGAATCATCCTGGTGAAAAATACACAATTTCCCCTCAGGATAATTTGAAATTTTACATAGTGAAATCATATTTTACCTCTTTGGGTGTT